ACAGTGCATTCTACTCCCCACCATCAGGCGCAGATTAAGCGTATGTGGCAGGCGTATGCGGGTATTTTGCCTGCGCCTGGTCCTACCTCCGTCTTCTTTACAGTCTTGGTGTCGGGCCTAGATGGGTGAGAGAGAAGGGACTTGCGGAGAATGTGCCCCACTCTCTCACCACTCCCACACCTGTAGCCGACAAAAGTCGAGAAGACCAGAGATGGGCAAGGGCGGGGGTGTCTGTTAATATAAGCAGGGAGCTACTGGCTGGGTGGCCCTTGCGACTATACAGACGAGGGCGTGACAGTCCGCCGCCATCACGCCGCCCGCAAATTCTCTAGGCGCCACCAGCCGGCATTCCCTCCTCTGGATCAGAGAGTGAGAGAAGATACAATTAACGAGGCAATCATGTACACGGCCTGTAAGCCCAGTGGGAGTGCAAGCGCATACGCCGGAGGGGAATCAGATCCAAGAAAACTGCCAACGCACACCAGGCCGGTGGGACTATGGTTTGCTGAAGCGTGGCATTGCATACACACACAATCCATAAATCTCAGAGGGTCGAGGAACAGCCCTGCACGTAGCCTAGGCCATTACCTTTCAAAGACGGGGTAACCATTCAGTCGTCGACTGAGAGGTAAGCCCAATATACTGTGGAGCACACGGAGGGCATCACTGGCAACGACGACTGAACCGTCGTTACGTATTTTAAGTACAATTTAACATTAAATGAAATCCGTGCTTATGTACGGGGATGAGTGTTGGATAGCGGAGGAAGCAACGGGAGTGGGTTTGCAAGATAAGTTCTGCGAGACGAAAATCGATGTCTTAGCCTTTACGCATGGAGACAGTGATGTTTTAGAGCTAGAGGATAATAGTTAGCCTATGTCAATGTCTTTTATATGCGGACAGCGTGAGGGTGAAGTAGATCATCGAATCAAATAGTAACATTGGTTGACTACCTAAAAACCTCTGAGGTCGACGTGAGACCAGGTAGCAGGCCAAGCAAATGTACCATGTAAAGTACAAAAGTTCACCTGAGTTCCAATTAGACTTATTTTACGCATAAAGCATGAAAGTGGGCCCTAGAAGAAGAACCTAAACCTTATGGTTTATAGATAAAATGGCCAAATTGACGAAATTTGTAAAGGTGAAGAGCAAATAGCACAGCACTTAATTCTCAGTATTAACACCTTTATGCTTGGTTTTACAGCTGGGAACAGTCATAAGTAAATCCTGTTCGAAAACACGTAATTTAAGCAACATCACGTAAAAAGCCTACGCCTAAACATTGGAAAAAGTAAGTTTGGAGTGCTCGAGAGAGGTGTCAGCATACTTGTGTCAGGGAAAGGCATCTTAAGAAGGCATGAATTTCAGACGATACAGATTCATTCGCATGAATCGACTGCAACGCTGGTCTCATTTGAAGGGTGAACTGTTCTGTGGAAAACCGTGAATGTTCAAGATAGGAACCCAAAGCCCCAAAACCTTACCAACAGGCATTATCAGTCAACGTGAACAAGGGAATTAGAAGTATGTTGTGAGTGAGGTCCAACAAAAATAGCATCTGTCCCTAGTCCAAGTGCATGTACTTGAAGATAAATAGGATCAATGGAGTAGTGTTTGGAAGAAACTACGTGCTTTTGATGCAGACGAGCGGGCGAATATCACTCAGGTTGGACTATTCAATCCAGAATGGACACTGAATACTGACGAAGGTAAAAGTTTCCGGTAAGTGCGACTGAAATGTGGCACTTTATCAACATTTCTACCGTTTACGCCTGAAAGCCAACATTAGCTACTGATCAAAGAAACAAAAAACTCTAATTGTATTTGCAAGACCTCGTTAAAAGAATTCCTCGTCGTCATAATCTGATTTCATTTGGAGAGTGGACTGACCGAACCGGGTTCGGCGACTCCTTAGCCACTTTCTCTATGTGACAAAATTGAAAGAAAGTTTAACTCCGCTGACCGCAACCGATACGGGCCTTTAGGATTTGTTCAAACGTCCGATAGGGTATTCTAAGACTGGCGTTAAGTCAACCAGATTGCGTAAAATAGTTTAGGGTTTAGTAACAGTGTGATAGCAGAATGGTACGTGCCAAATTGGTAACGCTTACGCGTCGAATGACGCTCTTGTGCAGTTGCCCCAAAGTTTGTCTAACCGGCTTCCAAAATAACCCGTACAAGACGCCGTTATATCGCACAATGATGGCAACCAAGGACCCGAAAACACAAATTTAGTCTCGCTAGTTAGCCTGTGTCGAGGGAGGTGGCAACAATGACCATGATTAAAGTCCTTCGTTGACAAGGCAAGTAAGAGAATTACCGCGTTCACCCAGTAGCGTTCCGAGCGCAGTCATCTGCCTAGATAGACCTTCGTTTTGCAGCGAGGACTCCTTCGGCCACCCAGAAACACGAAAGGGTTGGCTGGATATGACAGCCAAATTTATCAGGCTGAAGTGGTGGTCTCCGTGCAGCACGCAATAAATGTCGACAGTAGAAAATCCAACCAATTTACCACCCAAGAAACAGTAAATTTACTGTATGGAGCGACTGTGCTCAATGCAAACGATAACTGCTAGTGAGAGCTCAACGAACGTTCATTGCTGAAGTAGGCATTAGTGCAGTTTTGAGCACTAACTAAGAGTGGAGTTTTATCCTTATGCAACCACGCCGCCATATTAAGGCTGTGCCACAAAGACACTCGAAAAGGATGGCATTCCTGCTAAAGGATTGTGTCGACACTGGCGCCTGACTTAACTGCACAGGTAAATAAGTATGAGAAGATTAAATCGGTCCTAATGAGGCACGACTATCATTTTGTCAGTGCTCAAGAAAGCAGATGAGATTAGGCGAAGAACTGTAGTTGCAAGTGTCATTAATCTTGCAACAAATCTTTCTAAATGTTATGTGTAAATAGTTTCAAAAGGTAAGTGACTCAAATGCGATACGTGGACACACCGACCGAATATGTAAACTTAGCTTCATTTTGAAACTTTGTCAGGGTTACCAGAAATCCAAGGCCGTCCTTTTTTATCTTTGTTGTTGCAAATTTTGACGCTGCTGGTTGAGTTTCGTACCGCATTATGGAGCTAAATTGTGTAATGGCAAAAACAATCGCTATGATCAAGGCCTATTATTAGGTTGCCGCCGGTCCGTAGTAATAAATACTAACCGTTAAATATTCATTTTGGCGTTTGAGGTTGCATCCTGTATGTTATTCTATTTGATCATGCCAATGGCTGTATGCTTATAAGCGTCATAAATAGTCATGATATGTCGAATTCGCATTAAAGCGTCGGCTGAAACGCCTTAATTAAGTTGACGATATCTTACAACCAGTGGAAAATCGAGGATGCGCTACAGAATGCAGTGTTCCTGGAGGACAAGTTCGTTATATCAATAATTTTATCTACAGACGGCAAAAGCAAGTGTTTTGATATGAAGCTGGTCAGGAGAAGGCCGCCCTCTGAATAAATGAGCGCCACTCTGAAGTCCAAAGCTTCAAATATTTCGAAAAAACGGATAAGGTAATAATTATATTGTTCAGGGTTTTCCAAGCATGAAGTGTTGGTAAAAATTCACGTGTAACGGGTATTTGTCTAGTCGGTTCTATTGCCAGGTTATGAAGTTGAGTTACTAGTTACTTTGGCCCTTGTTGTCTGGCAGAGCCGTTGAGCGAAGTAAATCGTATTCCTGCACATTAATGTGGTTTTTCTTAGCTTAAAGAACACTGAGAGCATCCCTAGCTACCAAAAAAGACGACCAAAGTATCCTGATAACGTTTTCTGTCGCCCGTCTGCATTGTGAAGTGCTGTTGCCTTTTTAACCGGACGCAGACGCCTATTGGCACAAAAGCCGGTTTAATAAATCCGTCAAGACATTGGTCGTCTCTTAACTTTCAACAGCCATTTTTATTTAAAATATGACTGAGTCCATCAGATCGACTGCAAGAGATCGCCAAGTGTGCGCGACATCAGTGAGGTCGACCATATCAGACGGGAACCACAGCAGACGCGTCTTCGACCGCGTTCCCACCCGCCCTCAGGGCGGCCAAGGTCTGCTACACCAAACGTCATATGGTGGATCATCTCTCCTACTCTCCATCTGTTTTTTATGACAGAGCAGCCCCTGCTGACTATGCTGCCCCTCCTCCTCCTCGCCGCCGGGATTGAGGCCCACCCGGCGGGGTTCCGGATC